ACCTTAGGGTCATGGATCCCTGACAACTCTTCAAAGGTCTTGTCCCCAACCATGACCGCAGCCAGGTTGGCTGTGTAGCTGGACAGCACGAGGAGGCAGAAGATGGCCCAGAGATTCATGAGGAAGCGTCCAGTGGGACACTTGGGGGTCTTGCTGGACACGGTGCGTCCAAAGAGGATAGCATAGCAGAGGTTCAGTGCAGAGGAGTAGGAGAAGACTGTGCTCCGGTTACGGCCTCGGGGTGTCAGCCCATAGGGGCTTCTCCACTCATACAGGGTGAGAAAGAGGGCGGTGAGGTGCAGGGCTGCAAAGACACCCACCCACATGGACCAGTGCAGTGGCCACATGAAGGCCCCAATGGGTGATGCTGTGTCCTGAGCACGCACCATGATGCCCAGGCTGGTGGAGAAGAAGGGGCTGGTGAACTCCACCACCTGTGATCGTGCCGAATTGATGCTGAAGCTGGTGACGGCCATGTGGGCCCGGCCAGCCAGCAGGTCACCCACAAGGCCCGTCCAGCGTCCATCACGCAGTGCCCCATACTTGCCATCCCCCACAATGTACAATTCGAAATCAAAGGTCAGGTCCTCAGCCAGGCGCTCAAGGAGGTCGATACAGTACCCGTAACAACATCTTCGCATTGCGTGGGGCACCGAGTCGTTGGCCAACGAGGCGAACAGCGCATCTAGCCGGGCCGAGTCATTGGTGCCTGGGTCAAGACACAGCTGTCCAGCTGGGCACTGCCCATCCTCATCTGATTCCCGGGTGAACACAAAAGGGTGTTCTACCAGCGTGACCACCCGCAGCTTCAGCCGGGCCTGGCTGCCTGTTGGGGATGGGACACGAACAGCAGCAGTCGCCGGCTCCAAGTCCAGGCGTCCATCCTGCCAGCTGCCCACCGTCACCCAGGTTGGGGCACCCAGAGGGTCCCTGCGCAGGCTCCACACCTTGAAATGCCGGGACACATGCACCTGAGAGGAACCAGTCACCCACACAGGCCCTGTGCGGCCCTGGAAGGAGGTGTTGGCTAGAAACCTGGGGGACATCCAGGTGTCAGAATGGACCTCAGTTCAATCACAGCCCCCCCCAAGGACTTTCTGGCATGCCTCCCCAGGCAGGTTTGTCAGGTGGACCCATCCCAAACAACCTTGGCTCCTCCTGCCCATCACACAGCTCTGCCCAGGTGTTCTAGGGACAGATTCTTGGCTTTTTGAAGCAGGATATCATGTAGCCCAGGCTGGCTTTGATATACAGCCAGAGATCACCTTGAGTTCCTGATCCTCCTGGTTCCACCTCTTTAGTGCTGGATTGACGGGTATGCACCTGTTTATGTGGTGCTGGGACTGACACTGGAACCCAGGGTTCTGTGCATGCTAGGTGAGCACTTGATCCACTGAGCTACAAGCACTAACCACTGAACTACAAGTACTCTACCCACTGAAGCCCAGCCAAAGCTTTTTTCTCTCTCTCTCTCTCTCTCTAAAGACAGGGTCTCTTTATCCCAGGCTGTCTTGGAACTATCAGCAATCGCCCTGCCTCCAAATGCAGTGACATGTACCACCTTGCCTACTTGCTATCACCTTAGCCACCCACAGAAGGAGGTACAGGACTGGTTAACCAGCACCCACTCACCGAGCCAAGATGTGCCCTGAAGACTCAGGTCCCCCCAGTCTCAGGTCCTCACAGTTGACCACAGCTGGGCGCAGAGTCCTTTCAGGATGCATGAGGGCCATGCTGCTTAGTGCCCGGGCCACCAGCTCCACAATGTCATGGATGGTGGCTTCCAGTGAGGGTCTGTCCACCTCTCCCAGAGCCAGAACCCCAGGTGGCAGACCAGTTGTGGGCAGCGCCTCTGCAGGCAGTGGCGTGCCCAGCAGCCACTGGGGTCCTGGGGGTGCAGCCTCTAGGACCTGGCGGGCACGCTCAGCATCACACCCCAGGAGGATGGCTGCTGGCACCTGGCTCTCCCCCAGCTGGGCCAGGCGAGTCCGCAAGCCTTCATGTCCACCATGCGCCCAGCTCAGGTCCAGCACAAGCTTTGGGGCACGGCCAGCCCTGCTAGTCCACAGTGACACGAGGCCACCAGGGTCCCTGACATGGCAGAGCGTTAGAGCCAGTTCCTCCCAAGTGTGTTCCCGTAACAGGGACACGAGAACATCCATTGTGGTCTCCATGGGGCTAGTCCAGTCCAGCTGCAGATGCAAAGGGGTCTGTGAATGGACAGCGACAATCAGGATGGGCAGCGATAATCAGGATGGGCAGCATTCAGAGCCACAGCCCTGGGTCCATCTGCCCAGATCAGGGGCTAGAGAGCTGGCTCAGCTGTTAAGAGCACTGCCCGCTCTTATAGAGGAGCCTGGTTCAGTTCCCAGCACCACATGGGAAGCTAAAAACCATACATAACTCCAGTTCCAGGGGATCCAATACCTTCTTCTGGCCTCCACAGACATTGCACACTGGGTCACACCTCATCTCCAACTCACTATGTAGGTAAGGATGACCCTGAACTCTTTTTTGTTTGTTTTGTTTTTGTTTTTGTTTTTGTCTTTTTGAGACAGGGTCTCCTTGTAGCCTGAGCTGTCCTGGAACTCACTATGTAGACCAGGCTGGCCTTGAACTCACAGAGATCCGCCTGCCTCTGCCTTCCAAGTGCTGGGACTACAGGTGTGTGCCATCATGCCCGGCTGACCCTGAACTCTTGATCCTCCTGCTACCACCTCCTGAGTGCTGGAATGATGGGAGAGCACCACCAAGCCTGGTTTATGTGGTGCTAGGGATGAACCCAAGGCTGGTGCATGCTAGGTGAGTGTTCTGGGTACTGTGATACAAGCACTCCACCCACTGAGCTACTACCACTCTACCACCTGAGCTACAAGGACTTTACCTACCTGACCCACTAATACTCTACCCACTGAGCTACCAGCACTGTACCCAGACCTTTCTTGTGTTACATTCTTTGCATTCCAACAGCTGAAATACTCTTCTCTCTATGCCAACCAACTCCTTCAAAGCCCATCTTCATGGTTACTTCTCTACGTAGACCTTGCCATTATCTAGGAAGAACCTTGAACCTCCTCTGACTACCTCCAAACCTTCTTTGGTCTCTCGGTCTCTCGGTCTCTCTCTCTCTCTCTCTCTCTCTCTCTCTCTCTCTCTCTCCCCCCCGACTTCATTCCATCTCACCCCCACTTGCCTGGGGCCCCTTGATACTTCTAAACATTTAATAATTTCTTGGGGACTTAATGTTCCGCACATGGATCATGAGACAAAGAACTGAACTCCACAGGTCATTGCCTAAGTGGGGACTCAATGCAGGGTGCTGAGGGACAGATGGTGACCCAGGAGCCCAGAGCCCCATAGCACACATGGGTGCAGTTCCATGGTATGGCAGCAAGGGGTCCCACAGACTGGGACTTGGTCCTGAATCTCCATGAGACCAGGGGCCTTAGGGGAACAGTCAAGTCCAACCTCAGGATGGGTTAAGGAAGAGGAAGACATGAATTCTCAGCTCCCCAGAGCTAGATTTTATGACCTTGAGTTCAAAGCCAGCCTCGGCTACGTGAGATTGCCTCAAGTTTGAGACCAGCCTGGGATACACAGGGAGACCCTGTCTCAAAAACCAAAATAAGGAGCTGAAGAGATGACTCAGTGGTTAAGAGCACATGGCAGCTATAAACCATCAGTAACTACAGTTCCAGGAGATCCAAGGCCCTCTTCTGGCCTCTGTGGGTATTGCATACATGTGGTACACTTACATACATGCAGGCAAAACATTTATACATGTAAAATAAAAAATAAAGGTTGGGCTGGGGTGGTGGCACACGCCTTTAATCCCAGCACTTGGGAGGCAGAGGCTGGCGGATCTCTGTGAGTTCGAGGCCAGCCTGGTGTACATAGTGAGTTCTAGGACAGCTGGGGCTACAGGGAGACCCTGTCTCAAAAAGACCAAAAAATAAAAATAAATAAAAATAAAAAATAAATAAAAATTTTAAAATAACGGGGCTGGAGAGATGGCTCAGCATTTAAGAGTGCTGACTGCTCTTGCAGAGGACCCGGGTTCGATACCCAGCACCCACATGGTGGCTGCAAACCGTCCTTAACTCCAGTTTCAGGTGAATCCGAAGCCCTCTTCTGACCTCCGCAGCAAAAAAAAGCGGCATTGCACAACACGGGTGCACTCACATACATGCAGGCAGTATACTCACACACATGAAATAATAAATAAAATATAAAATAAATAAGTAAATAAATAAATAAGCCAGGTGTGGTGGCATACACCCTTAGTCCCAGCCCTTGAGAGGCTGAGGCAGGTGGCTGTGAGATGGAGATCAGCCTGGTCTACATAGCAAGTTCTAAGTCAGCCTGGGATACACAGTGAGACCTGTGTCAAAAAAAATTGGAGAAGGAAGAAAAAAGAGGGGGAGAGGGAGCAGCAGGGGAGGGGGGGAGGAGGGAGGAGGTGGAAGGGAGAATGGACTATGGGGTGTGGATGACCACCAGAAAGTGGAGAGTAGGGAGCTGCCTGGCCATCAGGGTCCCTGGGAGGAAAGATGAGCTCTGGAAAGATCCACATTGTCCAGCTCAGGGTTCCCCACAGTCCCTGTAACTTGGTCTCCTCGGTCCCCATGCCCTGGATCCCCACTGCCCCTGCATTCTGGGTCCCTCATGGTCCCCAGCCCTGGGTCTCCCACAGGTCCCTTACTCTGGGTTTCCCACAGTCACTCTGGGTTTCCTCCTGGGTCCCTACTGCCTCCTTATTTTGGGTTTCCCACGTTCCCTTATCCTGGGTCCCCGGGGTCCCTTACCCTACAGTCCCCTTACTCTGGGTCCTGGCCTGCGCGTACCGGGGCTCCGAGGGTCCCGTGCTCCTTCCGCAGCAGGCTGAACACCGGGGTCTGGGTGGAGGCGGCCAGGAACTGCAGCAGCCGTAACTCCGGCCGCGCCTCTGGGAAGGACAGAGCGGCCACCACGCCGGGCAGTGCTAGCGCCTGGCACAGGCCTCTGGCCAGCGATGCGGGGTCCCGCGCGGGGGGCGCCACGGCCACGAGTTCCACGCTCAGGTTGTCAGGCGGCCGGGGCACAACCAGGACACGGGACAGGGCGACCAGGACGCGGGCGCGGGCAGCAGGCGCGCGCGGCAGCAGAACAGCCAGGCGCACCGGGACCCCGGCACTCGTGGGGACCCCACAGGGCTGCGGGTGGCCGAGCACCGGGGACCCCAGCGCCAGCGCCAGGCCGAGCCACAACATCCCCATAAACTCCATCTCCAAGTGGTCACCGCCAGCTGTCCCAGTCCTGTCCCTCCTGCAGCGCCTGCAATCTCTGAGGAAGAACTGAGCGGGGGTTGACTAATACTCTCCTGGGCTCAGCTGGGCACTTCCGGACAGTAGGCTAGACGCAGCTCCACGTTGTGCATACCCAGTGGGAAAACTGAGGCAGGTTCATGGGTGGAAATCCATAAGGTGGATCTCCTTCGCTGCAGTCCTGGACTTCAGAACTTTTTTTTTTTTTTAACTTAAAAAATTACTTTTTAACTGGACGTGGTGGTGCATGCCTTTAATCCCAGCACTCGGGAGGATGCAGAGGCAGGTGGACGTGAGTTCAAGGTCGGCCTGGTCTACACAGTGAGTTCCAGGCCAGCTGGGGCTACAAGGAGACTCTGGTGGATCTCCTTCGCTGCAGTCCTGGACTTCAGAACTTTTTTTTTTTTTTAACTTAAAAAATTACTTTTTAACTGGACGTGGTGGTGCATGCCTTTAATCCCAGCACTCGGGAGGATGCAGAGGCAGGTGGACGTGAGTTCAAGGTCGGCCTGGTCTACACAGTGAGTTCCAGGCCAGCTGGGGCTACAAGGAGACTCTGTCTCAAAAAAGAAAAAAGAATAGACTGCCTGCCTCTGCCTCCCAAGTGCTGGGATTAAAGGTGAAGGTGTACACCATCACACCTGGTGAGAACTTAAAATTTTTAAGAATATTTTATTTGGGGGCTGGAGAGATGGCTCAGCGGTTAAGAACACTGACTGTTCTTGCAGAAGACCCGGATTCAAATCCCAGCACCCACATGGCAGCTAACAACTGTCTGTAACTCCAGCTCCAGGGGATCCGACAGCCTCTTCTGTCCTCTGTGGGCATTGCATGACACAGGTGCACTTACCTGCATGCAGGCAATACACACATACACATAAAATAAAAATAATAAAATATAAAAAAATTATAAAAATTATTTTATTTTATGGGTATAAATGTATTGGCTGCATGTGTAGGTGCACCTGTGTCACACAATGCCTGACGAGGTCAGAGGAGGGTGCCTTATCCCCCTGGGATTGGATTTATGGGTGGTTGTTAGCTGGGAATCAAACTTGGGTTCTCTGTAAGAACAGTCGTTGCTATTAACCACCGAGCTATCTCTCCAGCCCCAAGAATTTCTTAAAAATTTAAAAATTATTTTTTTTAAATTTATGTGTGTGTGCACGTTCATGACCTTAAGTACAGCACATACTAGGCCAGAGAAAGGTGTTGGATCTGAAACTGGAGTTACAGATGACTGTTAGCCACCATGTGGGTGCTAGGTATTGAACTTGGGTCTTCTGCAAGAGTAGCCCTCCAGCCCTCAGAACAGCTCTTCATCCATCAAAATCCACTGCCCAGCTGTGAGAAACATTGTCCCCAAGAAAATAAGCCCCTTCAACCCCCATGCCTCCCTCCCACAGTCCCATACTCCTGATTCAGGGACCCTCATCCCCTGGGAGGGAGTACAGGGGGGTACAGATCCAGTTTGGTTATTTGCATACAGTAGGCACTCTGTACTTGCCTGAGCAACTGGTCAGAAAAGGACCTTTTGCTCCACTCCCCCAGCTTCCATTGCTCCAGAACCTTCTGTACTTCTGGGTTATCTGGGTCTCCCAATTCTACTGAGCTAGGTTCCAGTGGAGACTCCATCAATGTGGTAGGTGGGATCAAGGGTTTCCTGCCCCTCCCACCCCCCACCCCCGAACCCCGGCCCTGCCTGAACACTCTGGTCTGTCCTCACCATCAGGGACCCAAGCTGGTGTCCCACAGGGAACACTAATGAATCTACACTGGGCTCCTTTCCACACACATAAAACCTCATCTCCTTCCAGAGCCAATATTAAAGAATATCCATCAAACAAGTAAAAACGCCAAAGACCAGCCAGCAAAATAGACTGAATTCTAAGCCAACTCTTTAACGAGATGAGATGGCTCAGTTCTAAAGACACACCAGGATGTCTAGGCACCTGGCCAGGTTACATCCAAGGTACATGGGGACACAGCTCCTCTAGGGGCCCTCATGGGTGCCACAGCCACCACCTCGTGACCCCCAGGGCCCTCCCTCCACTCTGGTGCTGAGGTGCCACCAGCCTCATGCCCTCAAATGGAGATAAAACCCTCTATCCAGATGGGCGATCCCATCAATTGGTGGTCATGTGGTCAGTCAACAAACACTCCCAGGTGTTGGTTCCAGAAATGAGACAACTGGACCCCAAGCCTGTCAGGCAGTAGTGTTCACACCGTGCCTCCATTTTCCAATCTTTTTTCTGCATTGGATCCCCACGAGACACCTTTAGAATCTTACACTGTGTAGTGCTGTGTCTGGGCTTCCCACCAAGTCCCTCCACACTTTAAAAAATCCCCCCTCCTGTTCACTGTGGGCACATGGGGTGCTCATGGCCCATCCCCACCGCCTGCTCCTGTCAGCCTAGGGTGCCTGGGGTCCTCCGACGACTGGACTGCTCAGAAGACTGGGGACACCGCCCCTGCAGCTTGCTCTTACCCAGCCCACTAACTGTGACAGTTGAGTCCCAAGGACTGTTTCTTTTTTTAAAATACTTTATTTTTATGTGTATGTATATGGACTGCAGGTGTGTAAATGCACCCATGCAATGACATCACGTGTTCGATTCCCTGGCACTGGAGTTATAGGTAGCTGTAATGTGGGTGCTGGGAATTGAACCTGGGTCCTTTGTAAGAGCATTCATTTCTCTTAACCACTGAGCCATCTCTCCAGCCCCAGGACTACTGTTTTGTTTGGGACAGGGTCTCCCTGTAGCCCCACCTGTCCTGAACTCTTTGTAGACTAGGCTGGCCTTGAACTCAGAGAGATCCACCTGCCTCTGCCTCTCAAGTGCTGGGACTAAAGGTGTGCGCCACCACACGTGGCTTAGGACTACTGTTTCTAATTCTGAGCACAGGGTCAGTCAATGTGGGAGTCTGGGGCACCACAGATAAGGGGGATGCATCCAAGGAGGCTGCTGAGGTACAGGCTTGTCAACTAGCTTAGGAAGCTGAGGCAGGAAGATCACCATTTGTGAGCCAGACCCTGGCCTGACTGGGGTAGGTGAAGAGTGTGGGGGTTTCACCCAGAGGCAGCAGCTGGGGGAAACAAGGTCTGTAGGGCAACGCAGGGCTCCAGCCCTCCTCTGGTCAGGTTCACTTGGCTGGTCACTGTTCCCAGCTGGAACACTGTGGCCACAGGGCCAGCTCTAACTGACAGGAGTATGGAGGATGGGGGTCCAGGTCAAGGGTAGAACTAAGCAGCTCAGACAGGGAAACTGAGGCACGTGCTGTGGAGGGGCTGATGGAAGCTGTGCCCAGGACGATACACTCCACAGGGGCAGGGAGGGGACATGGCTGTCTGGAGGTCATAGTGGGAAGTAGGGACGGCATGAGGTCAGTATTGGCACTGAATGGAGCTGCAGCAGTGATGGCTCTGCTAAATCACAGGATTTTCTGGATCGTTAAGCAGGCCTGTCAGTTGAGGGAGGCTTTCTGTAAGGTTCCATGGGCGTTTGGGATGGGCTCCAGGTTGTGGTTGGCACCACCCTCAGGGCAGTGCTGGGTGGTACACTGACCTCTGAGCCCCAGATGCTGACACACACACCCGTACGCATGGGGGCAGGGGGGACATGATGGTGCTATGGATGGACAGACATCTGAATCTTGCTGGGAGACCCTGATCTGGGGTGGGAGGACCTAATGACTCTGCACCCTGAGCCCAGGCCAGGTGGGCTGGGTCTGCTCACACTGGGAGGGCCAAGGTCTGTCAGGCCCTCGCTGGCCTGGGACCCCTGTGCTACACACACCACAGCAGACAAAAGAGCGGAGACTCAGGCTTTGTCCATCGTTTGTTAAAAGCATTCCAGCACCCAAGAAACCATCACTTGGCTGGCCGCGTGATAATGCGAGTGGAGAAGTCAAACAGGTCTCGGTTGATCTTGCGTAGGTTGCGCACCTCCTCCTCCAGCTCTGACACACGCACTGGCAGCAGCTGGTCCTGGCCACTTAGCACACTCTGTGGGGAGGGAGGGCACATGGGTAGAGCTGTATGAGGCCCCGCCCACCATCAGGCCTCACCTGCCAATCAACCCTAGGCACTACCAAGCCCCACCCATCACCAGGCCATCCCCACTTGAGCCCACCCCACCAGACTCCAGTCACCCCAGGCCTGCCCACCTTCTCCATGGTGCTCATGAGCACAGCCTGCAGCTGCTCGAGCTGCTCCTGGTAGGTTGGCTCTGTACCCTGGAAAACACATGGTTACCTGTCACCCACACCAGCAACCCTCCAGGAATCATGGACTCGCCCTGTTGCCTTGGCCATCTGTGCACATAGCAAGGTTATATCCCTGGGAACAGAGACACTGGTGCCTGTGACAGCTAGGGCAGTGCCCAAAGGGACCCAGAAGATGCATGACTGGGGCAGTGAGGACTGGCCATATGTTGGCTGGACCACTTGGGCCCTCAGCATGACACCCATGGGTCTCATGGGGGTCCCACAGCCATGTGGACAGAAGTGGGTGGGTGAGACCTGGTCAGGCACCTCAGGATACAGAGGACAGCTGGGTATTGAGGTGCTGCCTAGGAGCCCCTGGGGATATTGGTCAAACAATCCAGAACTTCACTTGCCCTGTGGAACGGATGTCATCCCCAGGGCTGGCAAACTGGTTGAAGGTTCTAGCACTGTCTGACCTCAGGCTGCCCCAGCCCCCTAGCCTCTGGTGTTTCTGCCTACTGTGTGGTTTGAGAACACCTCCCCTTATCAATTTTGGGGAGAACTGGGGGCCACTCCCGATAACCTGGCAATGTGATATGGGATGGGTCCTGCAACATTGCACATGTGGATACAATCAGTGGACAATTCAGGTGACCACATCTGGTGGGGACAGGGCGAAGTGTCCTGAGCAGCAGTAGAAGCTACATAGAGATGTGCTCCACTGGGATGTGGATGACTGGCAGCAGGGGGGGCAGCAGTCCCAGGGACTGAGGTGCTGGGGAGCACCTTGGAGTCGGCTGGCTCTGGGGAGTGCAATGTTCTTGAACAATGGCTCAGCAGGCAGCAGGCAGGAGTGATGTGGGTCCTACCTGCAGGTGCAGCCCCAGTCGCATGCGCAGGCCCCCACCCTGGGCTTCGTCGCCATGTTCGGCACCCAGCAGGTGCTTGTTAAAGTGAGGGAGCGGCAGGCTGGGCCTGAAGTCGGGGCTTAGCATGCTGGGTGGAGCCAGAACGATGGCTGCGTTGGTCACTGGACCTGCAGGACACAGTGGGGATGGTATGAGCACCTGGCTGGGAACCCACCCACCCAGTGTGGCCTGGCCTGGCTAGCTGTGCATCTTTGTTTTCTTTAAAAACTTTTTTTGATTTATGTGTATGTGTATGAGTGTTTGCCTGTATGTATATAAGGGCACTATGTTTGTGCAGTTCACAAGAAGCCAGAAGAGGGCACTGTATGCCCTGAAATTGGATTTACAGAAGGTTGTTAGCCGCCATGTGGGTACTGGGAATTGTATCTGGGTCCTCTGCAAGAGCAGTCAATGCTCCTAATTGCTGAGCCAGCTCTCCAGCCCCAGGGCTGCATGTCTTTCAGGGTGAAAGTGCACAGGGGACAGTGTAAGGACTGACCAGGGACCCATAAACCTCACATGGCTGGGCTGGGCACATACCTTTGAGGGTGATGGTGCGTAGACACTGCTTGCTGGTTACATCCCACAGCCGCACTGTCTCATCATGGGATCCCGAGAGCAGCACACTGCCATCCATAGACACAGACAAGCACGTCACCTGGTTCCTGGGATGGGGAAAGGTGTTGGATTCTGTGCAAGGCGCAAGGCCCACACTTACCCTGCCTGGTGTACCTACCTGTGTCCCTTGAAAACCTTTCCTGTGTCCTGCTCAGGCTGGAAGCTGCGTTCCTTCTGTCCTGGCTATGGGGTGGGGATGAACTGTGAGCACCTTAGATATGGACAGGACCCCTACCTGGCCTACAGTCCCTGGGTGGATACTCACCCAGCTGCACAGGTCCACTTGGAAGATGGAGCCATCACTGCCTCCACAGAACACATGGTGCTCAGCCAGGTCCATGGTCAGAGAGGTGATACCCACGTCAAACAGCACAGACAGAAGCAGGTCGCCCGAGGAGATAGCCCAGAGCTGTGGGGATGGGAGGCCTGGCACTGAGGATGCCCAGCAGCAGGTGCATGGCAAAGTGGGGAAGCCGGAAAGTGGGGTCCCATGCTGCAGGCCGAAGGGGATCCTGGACTCCCAGCAGCAAAGCTCAAGGCCAAGCTGGGCTGCCATCCCAGTTAAGGGGAATTAAGTCAGAAGACCAAAGTCAGCCAACGTGAATAGACAAGAACTGTCTGGCGGCACACAACAGTCCCAGCACTTGGAAAGTAGAAGGCAGATCTGTGAAATCCATCCTGGGCTACACAGCCAGTTCTAGGCCAGCTGGGGCTCTAAAGAATAGCCCAGTGCATTTGGAACATATCTATAATCAAGTCTTACATTTGGGAAAGTGAGGCAGGAAGATCACTTGGGGTTCAAGGGTGGCCTGGGGACCTAATGAGTTCAAGACCCAAGTCTGGTCTACCTAGTGAGAGCTAGGTCAGCCAGGTCTACATAGTGAAACTCTGTCTCAAAGATTTTTTAAAAAAGATAAATTCTGGGGCTGGAGAGATGGCTCAGGGATTGGGAGCACTGGCTGTTCCTGCAGAAGACCTGGGTTCAAATCCCAGCACCCACATGGTACCTAACAACTGTCCCTAACTCCAGTTCCAGGGGATCTGACAGCCTCTTCTGACCTCCGCAGGTATTGCACAACATGGGCACACTTACCTACATGCAGACAATATACGCATACACATAAAATTAAAAAAATTAAAATTAAAAAAAAAAAGATAACTTCTGTCACAAAAAAAGGCAAAAGAGGGCTGAGGGAGTGGTTTGTTAATAAAGCACTTTGGCCTGGCAAAATGTGAGACTCTGTCTTCTGTGTCTAGCAGTGTGTGCCTGAAAAAATTAATAAATGAAACTCCCAAGGGTGCAGTACCCAGCATTTCCTGGCCACTCTGTGAGGCCAGTACAGCTGGGTGGCTGGGAATTTCCAGGACACAGGCTGAACTGTCCATCTCTGGGTGTCCTTGGCTGGGACAGAGGCATTAGGGGCTATTGGGAGCCTGTGCAGCAAATGCAGGAGAGAGGCTGTCTTCCTCTCCCTCAGTTGAGGACCACTGGCTGCCAGGACTCGTGTATTCAAGTGTGGGGGACTGTTGGGGACCCCTGCTGTTTGGGTCGCAGTCTCTCCATGTCCGGATAGCTGCGAGCCGGCTCGGCGCATAATGGAGAGACTCCCCTTTTCAGCGGGACGCCTCCTACTCTCTTCCTGACTCACCTTTGAAGTGGCCGCCACAGATACATGACCTCTGGCATAGAAACTACCAGGTTTTTTATAATCAGGCACTGTCTGACAGCCTGACTGATAGAAGCCCACCGCCTCATGTAAATAAAGCATCCTAGGAGCACCTATCAGCTGAGGCTTTTGCTACTGCCTCCACACTATAAATCTTCTAGTTTTCACCCTAATAAAACGGAGCTGAATCACTGAGTCTAACAGAGCTGAATCACTGAGTCTAACGGAGCTGTATCACTGAGATCATCCGATTGAGCTGATTGGTGTCTCACTGCGCCTGCGACCAGCCTGTGATTCAGTCTCCCTGGAGGAGCTGTCCCCAGTCAGCATTCACTCGCGAAGATTCTGCGTTCACCGTTCCTGCACCTCCCCCGCCCTCATGGTTCGGTGGCCAACGACCCACAAGCACAGTGAGAGCATTCCGCAGCTAGCCTGAGCCCCCTGCAGATTGGCGCAGCCCACCCGGCAGCTTGCAGCGATCCGCAGAGTTGCCAGCACCCGGCAGCCTGCCTTGGTGCAGAGTCTGCACTCGCCAGAGCCGTTGCAGACCTGCCTGATCTGTAGTTCCCAGCACCCGGGAGCCGCGGAGAGCCAGGGACCCGCCCAGTAGCGAAACCCGCGCACCCAGCCAACAGCTGGCGCAGCAGCGCGAAACCCACCGCACGCAACAACAGGGGACAGTCTACCTTTATGGTCTGGTCCAGTGAAGCAGTGGCCACCCGGGCCAAGGGGCCCCCAAAGCCGCAGTGCAGGTCTGTGATGGGAAGTGTGTGGCGGGACCAGACATGCCTTGGGGCAAGGATCCTGGATGGGTCAGCCTGCAGCACACTGGGCAGAGGGTACTGGTTAGGTCACGTGAACAGACTCTGGCCCACTTGCCCCAGCCCCTTGCTAGGCATAGGACACCCAGACAGTCATTGTCCCTGCCCCTTCCATTCCCGACTGGATTCCCACCTGCAAAGGCTCCAGGCCAGCACCAGGCAGTCCTTGCCCCCCGAGATGAAGTGGCTGCTGTCACCCGTGAACTTCAGGCATGACACGTCCTGGTAGTGACGGCTCAGGATGACCAGAAGGTTCCCTGTGGACACCTGGGACAGGTCTAGCACTCGTCAGGTATGACACAGGCTGTGGCACATGGTACCAGTAGCCCTGTCCATCTGCCCCAGAACTGATGGCCAGAACTAGAACAAGGTTGTATATCTGTTTGCTGTGGACATGACTGGTGCAGTGTCCCTAGTCTCCTGTGTTCTGAGTCCCCAGGGGAGTTGTACTCAGCAAGATCTCAAACTCAGTCTTGCCTAGGGCAGGTCAGTCTATAGGAGCACGGGGGCTGTGGACAGGGCTGTGCAGAGCCACGTGGGTCAGGGTGAGGGCTGGCCTGGCATGCATGAGACCCAGGACTCAGTCCCAGCACAAGAAAAAAAAACCTACAAACCACATGATGGTACACACCTGTCATTGCAGCAACTTGGGGACTAAGGCAAGACGTTTGCCCTAAGTCTGAGGTCAGGCTGAGCTATGCATTAAGACCCTGTCTCAAAAAAGCTAAATGAAGGCTGGAGAGATGGCTCAGCAGTTAAGAGAACTGGCTGTTCTTGCAGAGGACAGGGGTTCAATTTTTAGCACCTACATGGCGGTGTTAACAACCATCCATAATTCCAGTTCCAAGTGACCCAACAGCCTCTTCTGCTGTCTGTGGGCATGGCATAACACAGGTACACTTACACATATGCGGGTAAATCATACACATAAAATAAAAACAGTAAAAATTAAAAAAAAAAAAAACAACTAAAAGTGCTGAGCATGGCAGCACAGGCCTTTAACCCCAGCTCTCAGGAGGCAGAGGAAGGTGGATCTCTGTGAGATCGAGGTCAAACTTACATAGCCAGTTGGAGCTAAAGGAAACCCTGTCTGAAAAAAAACAAACAAAAATGAGGGCTGTGGAGAAGGCAGGGAGGGTAAAGTGCTGGTGGTCCTGAGATCGGATCCTTGAACCTACATAAAGCAGTGGATGCCACAATCCTGGCACTCCTGTGGGGCAATGATGGGAGAACTTATGGAAGCTCAAAGGCCAAGCCAGGGTACACAGCAAATGGACAATAAGAGTCGTCACTGTCTCAAACAAGGTGGAAGGCAAGGATACTCCCACTGTGGCAAAGGTATGCCTGAAATATGTGCACATACACACATCACTCACACACAAAACACACAAACCACAGACACAACACACCCCAGATGCTTCCTGACAGCGTGGAGCCCCAGCCCATCTAAGTGGTGGCAGGGTGGAGACATAGGAGAGATGGCGCATCACCTGCCTGTGCTGGCTACTTTTTTAAAAATTTGTATCTTTTTTTAAATCAGTCTTTTTCTTTTTTGGCATTTTTTAAAAATTGTATTTATTATTTTTATGTGTATGCGTGTATTGCCTGCATGTATTGCCTGTATGTAGGTAAGTACTCCCATGTCATGCAATTTTTTGGTCTTTTTGGTCTCCCTATAGCCCCAGCCTGCCTAGAACTCACTATGTATGTTCAAGTTGGTCTTGAACACACAGAGATCTGCCTGTCTCTGCCTCTGGAGTGCTGGGCTTAAAGGCATTCACTGTCATGCCTGGCCTTATTTATTTATATCTTATGTCTATGAATGCTTTGCCTCCATGTATGTAAGTGCATCATGTGTGTGCAGTGGCTGAGGAGGCCAAAGGAGGGTGTCAGATCCCTGGAACTGGAGTTATAGACGATGTTAGTCACCATATGGGTGCTGGGAACCTCCTGGGTCCTCTGCAAGAGCAGCCCGTGCTCTTAACCAGAGCTAGCCCTCCACTGCCTATGCAGGCTAATTTTAAATGCCAAGTTGCCACAACTAGAATCACCTGGGAAGGGGCCCCAACTAAAGAATTACTGAGATCGGTTGGCTGGTGGGGCATGGTCTTGATTGTTCTTTGATGTGGGAGGACTGGCCCACCCTCGGTGGCACCATTCCCTGAAAAGAGGTCCCGAGCTACAGGGCACCATGGGAGAAAGCTGGGGCAGGTAGGCCGAGGTGCTCTCCTCTCTGCTGTTGACTGAAGATGTCTATGATCAGCTGGAGTAGTTCCTGCCCTGACTTCTCTCACTGATGGACCCTGACTAGAAGTCAATAAAACCTTTTCCTGCCTAGGCTGCTTTTGGTCAGTGTTTTACCACAAGAGCAGAAAGCCAACTGGAACACTGCCCTTTTGTAAGCCTCTTTTTTCATGTTTTCCCAAGAATCTGGGAACCTGGAGGATCCAGTGTACCAAGCCAGGGCTCAACTCCTGCCACACCCCAGCCTGAAGGCAGATTCAGGACCCCAGAGAGAAGGTCCAATTTTGGGCCTCATGAGACAATTGCTGGGACGTCAAAGGACCACCATGGCTTCCCCAGCCTGGACTCCAACCCCAGGTTGTAACTTAACATCCAAGATGAAGCCCAGTCATCTCACCTCCCACAGGTAGATACTCTCTGCGATTCCTGCCACAACATACAAGCCATTAGGGGCCGTGGTCAGACAGGTGACTGGCCCAGGACACATGATCTTCTGTTGGAGCTGGTCCTAGGGACAAAGGACATAAAATAAGCACAGTGAGTCACAGAAAGATGGTAGGAAAGAGAGGAGGGCCAATTAGTAGAGTGAGCAAGAGAGAGGAGCTTAGGTACCTTAGAAACCCTCTCTAGAACCTCCAATGAGGGGCTGGGGGTGTGGCTCAGGGGTAGCGTGACAGCCTAGGATCCCCAGTGAGGGGCTGGGGGCGTGGCTCAGGGTAGAGTGACAGCTTAGAATCCCCAGTGAGGGGCTGAGGGCGTGGCTCAGGGGTAGCATGACAGCATGGAATCCCCAGGGAGACACGCTGGGGCCGTGGCTGAGGGATGGAGCCTAAAATCTTTTTGGTGGTACTTGGGCCTCTAGTCCAACACTCCTAGTGAGTTCCCTAGACCTTCTGTGACGTCTTCCAAAAGCACGACCCCATGAAGGACTCCATTTTCCCTTTGAATCAAAATTAGCGCTCCTGAGACTACACATGCGCAGTTGCTCCGATCCCATTATGATCTCTATCTGCGCATGGGCGCGACCGGCTTTCTAGAAACCGGTCCCAGGCCTCAGCAAGCAGAGAGCCGCGCGTGGCCGGACTAGGGGATAAAGCCCCCGGCCCGCCGTGCGTAGGCGCCCTATCACCCCGGTGCCAGCGACTAACTCGGGAACGCGCGGCCCCAAGTCCTCCCGGCCACCCCGCGCTGCGCCCCGTACCTTGCGCTGCAGCTCCCAGGCGCAGATGTAGTTCTTGCCGAGCTGCGCCGCCAGTAGGTACTCGCCATTGAGAAGCGCGAGGCCTCGCGGTCCGGCTTGGCCGCCGCGGTACGTGAGTAGGTTAGCGCCCGAGTGCAGTTCCCACACCACGCAGCTCCACAGCTGCGCCGCCGAGTCCGTACATACAGCCACCTCCATGGGCGCCGCCATCTTGTCCCGCCGGCACCGCCCCCGCGTTCCGTCATCACCAACAAAACTCTCAAGATGGCGCCTGGAGGGCTAGAGCAGCACCTAAGCGTCTTCCGGTAAACGAGCTGGAGCACTTGTGCATGCGCACAACCTTGACTAGGCCCAGTTGGCTGTAGGTGTTTAACTGCTCCACCGTGTGCACCCTCTCCTCTCCCTGTAGGCGGAGCTGTCTCCGCGCGCGCAGTTTTCTGGCTTCCCGGCGCTTTGGAGTCCCTATGGGTTAGAGCGGCAATTTGAGCTTCTTTGGGAGGCGGAGCTTGAAGATTTGCGCATGCGTTGAACCTTGGTTTCTTTGAAGAGCTCCGCGTGGCTGATGCTTCTCCGAGTCGGCGGAGCTACAGTTCCCGCGCATGCGTACATGCGTACTTACCCTGCATAGCTAGCCCCTCTCTATGAAAATTGAGGCTGCCAGTCTTAAAGATGGATCTCAAATTAGAGACAATTATGCCCTGAACCTGGAGGCCTCCTTTGGACATTTTCTGCTGTTGATTTTGGCTCAAATTCTACAAACTTTTTTTTTTTTTTTTGTCTTTTTGAGACAGGGTTTCCCTGTATGTAGCCCTAGCTGTCCTGGAACTATGTAGACCAGGCTGGCCTCGAACTCACAGAGATCCGCCTGCCTTCTGTCTCCCAAGTGCTGGGATTAAAGGCGTGCACCACCACACCCGGCCAAATTCTGCAAACTTTTGCATTTTCATTTTTGGAGACAGTCTCACCCTGTCGTCCAAACTGAGCTGGAACTCCCGGCAATCCTCCTGCCTCAGCTCCACGGTTGCTGGGATAACAACCACCATGCCTCACGCCCAACTTTTTAAAAAAATTTTGTTTTAATGTGCAAATAAACTACCGACCATTATACTTTAGTCTCAGACAAGATACTGCACGGAAAAGCAGGCTACCCGCCAAGTGTCGGAGTCAACGCACAGCGATCGACATGCCTTTATCGATTCGCCTCCTCTTTGACCTCCCCTCTTAGGGGCCATAAATTTCAAATTTGTATTTGAGTCGGTTAGTGCTGGACCCAGCAAGTTAATCTACTCAAACAGCCTTTAACCTGGGGTCACAGCTGCTGGCCCCGGGCCAGGTCGAAAATAAAGTATTAAAAAACAAACAAAATGTGGCGTTAGTTACCATGTTTTGCAGAAAGGAGAACAAAACAAAAAGAACCCGAGCTTTGCAGTCGTGGAGGTTGGCTTAGCAGAGGCTGCAGGCCAGGACGCAGCATGAGGCTCTAAGCTGCAATCCTTAGGCTGTCGGGCCTTTGGGACCTGTGAGGGGGACGGAGATGAAGTGCATGCAGGGTGGACACTTGGAGTGACGTGATTCTGGAGGGAGGGGATGCGCTACAGACAGACCTGAGACTGCCCGGCCAGGGAGCAGTTGGAGTGGGGTGTGCAACCCAGCCTGGCCACCAGGTGGCAGGAGCAGGCCAAATCCCCCCAACCCCCCTTCCCCAGGAGCAACACGGGAGACAAGGTCGTGTGGAACATGAGTGCAGGGAGGACACAGCAGGGCCCCACCTGAGGGGGTGCACAGGGGGAGAGAAATCAGGTGCTGGTGTACAGTGGTTAGAGTGCTCATAACTCGGTAGAGGGCTTGTAGCTCAGTGGGTAGAATGCTCACCTAGCATGAACTAGGCCCCATCGCCAGCACCATATAAACCACGTGCAATGTCACAGGGCTGTCACTCCAGCACTTGGGAGGCTGAGACAGGAGAATCAGGAATTCAGGGAGGGCAGCCTGGGCTATTTGAGACCCTATGTACCACCCCACCCGCTCCCCCCCAAAAGAAAAAGAATATGAGAAAAATAGGGGGTGACTTTGGTGTAGTTTGAGGGTATAGTTCACCCTCAAGACTCCTGGTTAGGTTCTCAGCACCCCAGAGGTGTGGGGGGATCAAAGACCAACTTGGGGCTTTGACTTGGGGCCTGAGTCCCACCTGTTGACACCTGTGAGCAGTGAGCTAGGCTGTCATTCAAATCCAGGCCTTGGTTTCTCTGCCATTCCCATGGATGATGGGGTTCCCATGTCTCAGGTGTGGTCTCTTCCAGCTAGATCTGGCCTAGGTTTGTACATATTCAGTTCCACCGCAGGACCAGGGTCAGCTGGCACCTGTGTCTCCCTGGCTGCAGCTACTGCCCCCTCTCCTGCTGTCCCTGGGGACAGGTGGCCAGGCTGAGAGGTCAGAGGTCACCCTGCCCCCAGCTGGCCCCTGGAATGAGGACAGTCCAGTTGTGTCAGAACAAAAGCCAGTCTTGGCGCCCTGGACCACCCAGTTGCTGGACTTCTGACACAGTTGGGAGGGGGAAGGATTGGAGGAGCCAAGTTAGGGAAACTGAGGCACAGACACCCCCATCTCCCTAGGCATCAGTCCTACATGTTTACCCAACTCCTGCCTCCTCCTTCTCCCCCAGGGGAATCCACAAAGCAGCCCACAATTTGGGGACTCTGTGTATTTAACTACAGCACTTGGGAGGCAGAGGCAGGTAGACTTCTATGAAATGGAGACCAGCCTGGGTTACATAGAGTTCCAGGCTAGCCTGGGCTACCTGAGACCCTGTCTCAAAAAACAAAATACTTTGTGGTTCACCTGGGAGGCAGTGCAAGGTACCAGGGAACTCAGGAGGCCACACACCTGTCTTCCGGGGGCTGTGCAGCCCCAGGGCCCCTCAGCTCCATCTCTGGTGCCGAAAGGGGCCTGACCAGCCAAGCCGGTTTGCTGGAAAGATGATTTTTGTTTGTTTGTTTGTTTGTTTGTTTGTTTTTTTGAGACAGAGTCTCCTTGTAGCCCCAGCTATCCTGGAACTCACTATGTAGACCAGGGTGGCCTTGAACTCACAGAGATCTGCCTGCCCCTGCCTCCCAAGTGCTGGGATTAAAGGCGTGTGCCATCACGCCTGACCTTGAAAGATGATTTTTTAAAAAATTAAATAATAATTACTGGTCTTTATCCTCCAGGAGATTCAGAAGGCAGTTGAGTGACCTCTGTCCCTGAGAACCAGGAGGAAAATGCTGGTTTCTGGTGTGAGCAGGAGACAGACTCTGTTTTCTGTCTTCAGTCAGCATCCCAGGAAAGGACCAGCCTAAGCCAGCCTGGGCCAGAGCAGGCCAGCCCAGAGCCAGGTGGCCAGGACAGGTGACCAAGTCTGGGCCTGTCTACCAGGCCTTGTTCACCTTGAATCATTCCAGCTCCCTGAGGTGAGTTCTGACACCCAGGAATCTTTCCTCAGCCAAATCCTTGACATGTCACCCACTAAGGTCCACCCAGTCCTGAGTCCACAGAGGCCAAGTGACTGTCCAGTGTAAAGTGACCAAGCCCATCATCCAGCACTCAGGAGGCAGAAGCAGGAGTATCTCAGTGATCAAGGCCAGCCTAGTCTACACAACAAATTCCAGGCCAGCTGGGGCTATAGGGAGACCCTGTCACAAAATAAAAAAACAATGAAAAAAATAAAAACAAAAATGAATAAATAAAAAGAGGCGCTGTGGCTCAGTGGATAGTGTGCTTGTAGCTCAGTGGGAGGAGTGCTACCTAGCATGCAGAAATCTGGGTTCATCCCCAGCAGCACATAAACCATGCGTGGTGGCTCATACCTGTCAACCCAGCACTTGGGAGGTGGAAGCAAGAGAATCGGAATTCGGGGTCATCCTCAGCTATGTAGTGAGTATGCGACTAGCCTGGGCTATATGCGACTTTGCCTTAAAAACAAAGGCTATGGGTTGTGGTGGCACACGCCTTTAAACCTAGCACTTAGAGACAGACGCAGGTGATCTCTGTGATATTGAGGCCAGCCTGATCTACTTAGTGAGCTCCAGGCCAGTGGGGCTACAGGAAGACCCTATCTCAAAAAGACCAAAAGAGGGGCTGGAGAGCCAGCTCAGTGGTTAGGAGCACTGGCTGCTCTTGCAGAGGACCCTGGTTCAGTTCCCAGCACCCACATGGGGGCTAACAACAGTCCACAACTCCAGTTCCAGGGGACCCAACACCCTCGTCTGAACTGCATGACATGGGTGCACTTACATACATGCAGGCAATACACTGGAGTTACCTTGAACGGTTGTTAGATGCCATGTGGGTGCTGGGAATCAAGCCTGGATTCTCTGCAAGGTACAAGAGTAGCCAGTGCTCTTAACTGCTGAGCCAGGTCTCCAGCCCCTAAAATATTTTTTGAAAGACCGAAAAAAAAAAAACACACCAAAAACCAGCAGAAAGGAAAGCATGTAAGGAAGATGTCTGTAGTGGAAAAGGCACCCCTGCACCCAGGGCCTGTCTCCAGGAGGCTGCCAGGAGCTGGCCCCAGGGTGACAGGTGGGCAGGAAGAAGAGCCTGGAGTGGGTTGGGGTGGGGGTGGGGAGCCTTGAGGAGCTGGCTCCACCTCGCTGCTGGGAAGGGAGCAGAGGTGGCTTCTCACCTGCAACTGGTCCTGGGGACCAGGATGGGACTAAGAAGGTTTGAGAAGGCTCCCAGTGAGGTTCCTCTTCAGTCTGTCAGTCACCAACAGAAAAGAGGGTGGGGAAGGTATGAGAGGGCCAAAACAGCTTGTACAAAGGTCCTGGGGCAGGACGAGGCCACCCATACCAGGGGCTGGTCAGCCACACCAGGACCCTGTGTGGAAGGACTCTAGAGGGGGCTGCTCCCTGGAGTCACCCCAAGCCCAGCTTCCAGGGGAGCACCAGAGACCATCCACAGTGCACCTCAGCCAGGGCTTACAGCAGGGTTTTCCCCAGCACAGTGGATGTTTAGAATGACAGCATGCCTATGGCTGTGGCTCAGTGGGTAGAGTGCTTGCAGTTCAGCAGGTGGGTAGAATATTTGTAGTTCACTGGGCAGAGTGCTTGCAGCTCAATGGATAGAGTCCTTGTGGCTCAGTGAGTAGACTTGTAGTTGAGTGGGCAGAGCTCAACTAGCACCCATTGGGCCCATGGTTCATTCCCAGTACCACATAAACCGTGGGTGGTGGCACATACTGGTACTAGGGAGGTGGAAGCAGGAGGACCAGGAGTTCAAGGCTGGCCTTGAGGTTCTGGTTTGAGGCCAGCCTGGGTTACATAAGACTCTGTGTCAAAAAAAAAAAAAAAAAAAAAAAAAAAAAAAGGCTGCTGAGATGGCTGAGTGAGAGGAAAGTGGTCTGCCACCAGCCTGGTGACCCGAGTTCAATTCCTGGGACCACGTGGTAGGAGAGAATGGACTCCCAAAAGTCGTCCTCTGCCCTCCACAGGTGCCACTGCTTATGAGCACCTGCACATTCAAAACAAATAATGTGGCCAGGTGGTGGCATACCCAGCACTCTTGAGGCAGAGACAGGCAGATCTCTGTGAGTTTGAGGCTAGCCTGGGCTAAATAGGAAGTCCCAGGCTAGCCAGGGCTACATAGACACTGTCTCAAGAAAAAAAAAAAATCACTAAAATAATTGCATAAATAAAATACAAGAAAAAATGTAAACGATGGGCTAGCCATCTTCTGCAGGCATCCCTGGCCCCCACCCACTCCACATTAGATGCTCCCCAGTGGCAACAGCCACACACATCCATCCCCCAGGTCTCACCTACAAACCAGCCCCACAAAAACCACCAGAGTCAAGTCTTCCACAGAAATCTGCCATCTGTTTAATCTCACCATTATCACAGGGTTACAATTGCTTAAATATTTCTGCAGTTTAAATACAATCCATAATAAGGTTATTATAAAATGTAAACTTTCAGTGTTTTTTAATTTCAGAAATCACACTTTTTTTGTCGTTTTTTGTTTTGATTTTGTTTTTCCTGATAATACCTGAATATTTCAAAACAACTGACACTGTTGTAGGTCACCCGGCCACGGCCCGGGTGGGACATGACCATGAGGTCTGACCAGAGGTAGAAAAGCAGTTTTTCACCTTTTTTTTTTTTTTTAATTCATTTATTTAATTTTTTTTCATTTTACCTGAGTTCATGCACGACCCTCACGCCATCTGACAGGCCCCCAGAAAAACTGAAATTTCACATGTTCAGAGTAAAAAAACGCTGAGCTAAGAAGAAAAAAAAAATTTTGTCTTTTTTTGCAAAAGCCAAAATTGGGGGCAGAAAACAAAAGGAATAAAATATGTAAAAATAATAAAAAATAAGAGGAAAAAAGCAAACACAAACCCCAAGACTGTACAAGAAGCAGCCCAGCCCTCCCCACGCCCATCCCCACCCACCCCTCACAGTTGGCGAGAGCTGGCCAGACATATGGAAGTCCTAGAGACTGCCTGTCCCTTGGAAAGTTCTAGAAGCAACCCGCTCCCCACCCCCCGCCCGAGAGCCCCTCTTCACCCTGAGTTTGGGGTCTCACCTGCCCCGAACCAGGGAGACAGTGACCTTTGTCCAGCTGGCTGTAGCCAGCGGTGGCAAGATGGGGAAACTAAGGCAGACAGGACCCTGGAGGACAGAGGGGTCCCATGTGCCCAGATACCAGGGTCCCCTTGACAATCGCAGGCCCACAGTGGGCAAGGTCCTGAGTTAGGATCTGGAGACCCCAGTACCCCATGCAGGTGGCCAGGGACGGGTGACCCAGGTGTGAATAATTTTTTGGCATTAAAAGACCTGAGGTAGAAAGATTTGCCTTGGACCTGACCCCCCCCCAAAGCAACCCTCTTGGACAGACTCCCATTGCGGACATGGGGGGTCAGACCACCAGCCCCCACACCAGGTCCTAGGCAGAGGCTGACGAGACAGAGTTCTCAGAAGGGGACACTGACCCCTCCACACCTGTGACCAAGAATGATTGTGCGGCTAAGACAGTGGCCCTGAAACAGGGCAGGCATTAGCTTCCAGAAGGAAAAGCTAAGTTGGGACCCTCCCCTCCAAGATGGGAGCCTCCCATACCTCTCACTAAGAAAGGGGATCCCACCCCATCCCCTTGGTAAGGAGGTAAGGGTGTGTGTGTGTGGATGACCCTGAGACAGAGGAAGAAAGAGGGGTCCCTTCCCCATAGCCAGGATGGAGAAGTAGGCCCTGGCTCTTCAAACCCTTCCTGTCCTAAGACACAAAAATCCAGCACTCCCTCCACAGGAATGGTCACCAGAAAGTCCCTAACCCCCAGCCTGGTGGCTCTAGTCAACTTCAAATTCAAATTTTATCTTTTTTGAGCCGTGGTCTCCCTGTAGCCCCAGCTGGCCTGGAACTTGCTAAGTAGCCCAATCTTACAGCTCGATCTTACAGTGATCCCACTTGCCTCTGCCTCCTGAGTGCTGGAGTGACAGGCATGCACCCCCATGCCTGGCCTTAATTTGAGTCAAGGTCTCATACAGAGCAGGCTGGCCTTAACTCCATACGAAGCTGAGGATGACCCCAAACTCCTTCCTGATCCTTCTCTGATAGCCATCCGACTGTGTCCAGCCTAGCTGGATGGTGGGCTTGTGGACACCCAAGACCACCTGACCAGGAACTGGGGTCCCTCCTGTCCCAGCCAGGAGGGAAAGAGAAAAGAACTTGGGGGGGTGTCCTTGCCCTGAGCTAGACGTGGTACACCCCATCTTCCTCAAATTGGAATTCCCTCCCCCCAAAGTAACGCTTCCAGGCAAAGAGAACCCAGCATTTCATCCCTGAGACAAATGAGGTCCCCCCCGTCTCACGTGCTGCCCCCTCCCACCGCTGTGTCTAGAACTTTCTATGTTCTGGTCCCTGAATGATTGACGCGGCAGGCAGGGTCCAGTGTGACAAGAATTGTGGAACTCACAGATAAGCTAGCTCCTTCACAGACCCCACCATGGCGCCCAATCTTGGGAACAGTGAAGAGTCACCCCAACAGGTCCAAGACGAGGATGGGGGATGGGGGATGTTTGCTGTCAATTTTGCTTATTCTTTTTTTTCCTTTTAAAAAGTCCTTTTCCCTGAATGAACACAAATATATAGATATACAGATATATTCTTCCTAAGATCTGATCCCCACCCCCAAGAATAAAATAGAATATTTACAAAACAAAACAAAACTGAAGCCTCTTAAAAAAAAATATTGTGTTTGAATGTCACATCTTTTAAAAAAGAAAAACAAAAATTCATAGTTTCCAACAAGAATAAAAGGAAACCAGCCAGGCGTGGTGGTGCATGCCTTTAATCCCAGCACTTGGGAGGCAGAGGCAGGCGGATCTCTGTGAGTTCGAGGCCAGCCTGGTCTACAGAGTGAGTTCCAGGACAGCTGGGGCTACAGGGAAACCCTGACTCAAAAAAAAAAAGAAAAAGAAAAAGAAAACCAAAAACCTTCAATGATCCTGGCTTAGGGTTTTTGTGGATTTTCGTTTTTCTGACAGAAGCAACTCAGATATGACTATGGAATGAAAGACAAAAATTAAAACTTTAAAAAACCAAAGAAGTAAGAACACACAGTGCCAGGGGGTGGGGGCAGTTCATGAGGTAAGTGGTAGAGTCGCTTGCAAACCAGAGCTGGTCCAAGCCGGACCCCAAGGAAACCTCTAGAAGATAGGCTCTCTCTGCCATAAGATTTTCTTGGTGGCTCTCATCAAATCCATTTCTCGGAGTCTCCGAAACCTGAGAAATTCAAGTGTCCTCTGCTTTGCCCTGATTTATTAAATTTGCTATATATCTCTCTCTATATATATGTTTATATAAATCTTTTTGGCGTCTTGTGGGTCCTCAGAAATCCGACTTCCCCCATGTGGCTGCAGGGTTCCAGTAGCCAATGAGGGACGTGGCAGGTGGACAGCGATGTGACCTGGCTTCCTTAAGGCAAGGAGTTATTTGAGGTAGATGTGGGGGGCGTGGACACCCCTGCTGGTCCCACCTGGCTGCCCGAGCTGGTCGTACCACTGGCTCCTGTCCGACTGCCCGCGGTATTGTTGGTGCCACTACCTGGGCCACCTTTGCTGGGAGCAGAGGGTGGCGTGGGGGGCGGTGGCTGGGCAAACAGCACCCCTGGTATGAGGATGAAACAGAGGAATGTGTCAGACTGCCAGGCCTGTCAAGTCTGCAAACACCAGGCCAGAGGCCAGGCCAGGCCTGCATGCCTGCCATCCCTTGGCTCAGGAGCCTGAGGCAAGAGAGTGATGGTACTGAGGACAGCCTGGGTGATTTAGCAACAAACTGCCTCAAAAGAATAAAAATGAGGGGCCAGAGAGATGGCTAGGTAGGTAAAGGAGTTTGCTGCTCTTGCAGAGGATCCGGGTTTGGTTCCCAGCACTCGCATGGCAGCTAACAATGGTCTGGTCTGTAACTGCAGTCCCAGGGGATCCAACACCCTCTTCTGAACTCCATGGGCATTTCATGACACAGGTGCACTTACATTCATGCAGGCAATACACTCATATACGTAAAATAAAATAAATAAAATATCTTTGAAAAATCTTAAAAGGCCTGATGTGATGGTGTAGGTCTTCAATCCCAGCACGTGGGAGGCAGAGACAGGTGGATCTCTGTGAGTTGAAGGCCAGCTGGGGCTACAGAGAGACCCTGTCTCAACAAAACAAAGAAGAGGGCCAGCAAGTGACTCAGCTGGTTTAAAGGGGCTTGCTGCTGAGCCTGACAGCCTGAGTTTGATCCCTGAGACACACAGTGGAAGGAGAGGACTGGCTCCCCCAAGATGTTCTCCTCACCTGAGCTCTGTGGTACCTGCCCCTAACCCCATATATTAAAGTAGAGACTGGTGGCACACACCTGTCATCTAGCACTCTGGAAGTAGAAGCAGGAGGATCAGGAGTTCAAGGTCAGCCTTGGCTATATAATGAATCTGGGACCAGCCTCGGCTAAAAACACACAAAAATTGCCAAACCCACCATTGTAATGAATGCATATGTTGTGAGGACAGCCACCCACATCCTTGGTCCTCTGGGGAAAACCCGCATCTAGGGCCACTGCTGTGCGCTGTTGACTCCCACACCCAGGCAGCAGTCCAGCAAGCCCTCACCTGTGTACACGATGCCGTTGATTTCCACAGACATAGTGATGCTGTTGCTGCCATTAGCGCTGGTCAGACTCATGGTTGAGTCCTGGCGGCTCTCAGAGGCTGTGGGAACAAGAGAACTAGCAGGGAGACTCAGAAACCCATCCAGTGGTGCCCTGTGTCCTACCTGCCTCCACAGAGGGCCTTTGTAATTTTCAGTCTTTGGTAGGGTTATTGATTTGTTTATAAAGATTGATTTGTTTTTATTGTATGTATATGGATGTTTTTCCTGCATGTATGTAAATGCACCACATGTGTGCAATGCCTCCAGAGGCCAGAAGGGGACATTGGATCCCCTGGAACTGGAGCTACAGATGGTTGTTAACTGTCATGTGGGTGCTGGGAACCAAACCTGGGACCTCTACAAGAGTGGCCAATGCTCTTAATCGCTGAGCCAGCTCTCCAGCCCCTTATTTATTTTTTGAGACAGGGTCTTAGTTATGTAGCCTTGCCTGGCCTAGAACTTGCTAGGTAGCCCAGGCTGGCCTCAGTCTTACAGAGATCCACCTGCCTCTGCCTCCTAAGTACTGGAATTAAAGGCACGCACCACCATACCCAGCTTTTCCTTTTTAAAATTATTGATTTCTCAGCTCTTTTTTTGTTTGTTTGTTTGTTCTTTTTGAGACAGGGTCTTCCTGTAGCCCCAGCTGTCCTGGAACTCACTATGTAGACCAGGCTGGCCTTGAACTCACAGAGATTCGCCTGCTTTTGCCTCCCGAGTGCTGGGATTAAAGGCGTGTGCCACCACACCTTGGCTCTTTTTACATAGGATGGCTCCAGGAGAGACACAACACTCAGCAAGTTCTGAGTTGGATGGTACCTTGGCTGTTGATTCGGATGTTCATGGGCAGTTGGGCTGTCATGGCCAGGAAGTTCTGCTGCAGAGCTCGCTGCATGAGACGCTGCTGTTCATCAGCAACCAGAGCCATCTTCTTTTCCACAGGCTCCCCCGACTCCAGCTTCTCCCGGAGCTGCTCCAGGGCAGCTGCCTGAGCTGCAACAGCTGCCTGGGCTGCTGCTGCCTGCACAGCAGCGGCCTGGGCTGCCACAACAGGGTGACCCGCCAGAGACACAGGCAGGCGGCCTGGGACAGTGATGGGGATGGCAGAGTCTTCCTCTAGATAGACAGAAGAGGAGCAGGTCAGAAGGGACCTGGGGGCAAGCTGGTGTGCTCCACAAGGGGGGAGCTGGATAGAAACAGCATCCCAAGGCAGGATCTCACACAGCCCAGGCTAGCCTCTAACTCACTAAGTAGATGAGGATGACCCTGAACTCCTGATCCTCCTGCCTCCATCTCCAGAGTGCTGGGATGACAGGCATTTATGCAGTGCTGGGAATGGATTCAGGGCCTTGTGTGAGCACTATACCCATGGAGCTACAGTCTTAGCCTCTTTTTTTTGTTTTTTTTGAGACAGGGTCTCTCTAGCCCCAGCTGGCCTGGAACTTACTATGGAGACTAAGCTGACCTTGATCTCACAGAGGTCCACCTGTCTCTGCCTCTCAAGTGCTAGGATTAAAGATATGTGCTACCTCACCTGGCTTTAGCACCTTTTTGAGCAGGTATGTGTTAAGAAGGATTCTAAGGCTTAACAAAAGAGACAATTGCCATTGATTAGTGATGTCTGCCACAGGAGAGGATTCCTTACTGGGTACATATGAATCTGGGCTTGCAGCTTACTAGAAGCCATATGTGTAGTGGGTCTAGTGTGTGTCAAGGGAGTCTACAAATAAGGAGGAAACAGACATAACCGACTAGTAGTATCTGACACTACAATTGAGTAGCAATGCCTGGTTTAGGAAAGGGTACAGTGCTAAATTAATAGTATCTGTCCCAGTGTAGACATGAAAATTAGCTCTCAATTAGTAATGCCTGCCAGGAGCAGAAGCTGGTCTAATTATACATGTATGCCTACAGTGGCACAGAACTGGGTGGGGATGAGGATGGATTGATTGGTGATGTCTGTTTCCTCCAGGCATGGGGTTAGAGAATTGGGATTTACTAGTAATGTCTGCCATGGGAGCAGACTGGTGGTCAATGGGAGATCTAGTTCACACTGACTTGGTTTATCATGATTGTCTGGATAAATTAAAAGATATCTAGATCCAGTCTTCACCTTTCTTGATCTTGGGTGCAGGGGTGACGGAGCTGCCATTGGTGCTGGCAGCCAGGCCCAGGGACGTTACAGGCAGCTTGGGTGAGGAAAGCATGCCATGGGCGCTGCCAGGTGAATAAGCGAAGAGTGAGCCCCCGAAGCTCTGGCGCCGGCCCTCCCGCCGGTTGCTGTCGATGGCAGCCTGGAGTTCATTGGGGCTGCTCAGCCCTCGGCGCTCACACTCATAGGGGTAAAGGTATTTCATGTACCTGTGGACATGGGACACGATGCAGCAAGACACAGCTCAGGAGGAGTGAGCTAGTTTGGGGAGGAGGGGGCACCTCTGGCTGAGGGGTGGGCTATCTCAGGGTGAGGGGGTGGGCCAGCTCAGGGTGAGGGTGTGGGCTAGCTCAAGACGTGGTGGGCTAGCTCAGGAGCAGGCAAGGGAGGCTGCACTCACTGTGTGCGCAGTGTGAAGGCTGCGCTGGTGATGGAGGTGGGCAGATTGAGCCCCTTGGTGATCTCCCGCCACAGCTTTTTGTTGATGACCTCCACCAGGCCGCCCTTCTCAGTCACGAGCACGTACAGCATGTACAGGTCGAGGACCTGCTTGGCCATGATGGGGATTCGGTTCACGGGCGTCCCTGTGGGATGTGGGGAGAAGCTGCCTGTCCAGGGCCCAGTGGCCGGACCATGCAGCCTGACTGGCTGAGCAGCAGGCTTCTGGCACCAGGGCCTCCCATGGACTCCCATGCAGTGCCAGGGCTGCCACCCGCCCCCACTGTACACAGGCTTCCACCATGTGAGGAGCCACATCCATCCCCACATCATCTGGGGTGTCTCATGGTGGCTGCACCCTGGACAAGTCCCTGCAGTGCCTTTTCCCCCAGAGTAACCACACAGACTGCTGGGTGGGGAGGGGTTAGGAGAAGACTCCTGGGGACACACAGGAGCCAAAGGGCCCTTGTGAGCTCTGCTCCAGGTCTCCAGCAACATTAGTTGCCAGAACAACTGTGTGGCACCCCAGAGTCCGTCCTCCTCATTCCATCCCTGGAGTGTCCAAGGCTCCAGTGGAGGGGGAGGGATTGGCTAATGTGATGTTCAGTTTAAGGGGCAGAAGGTTGTGGGCTAGCCCAGAGCGTCAAACCTGCACCCACAGACCCCCAGCCTCCCATGCATCTGTCAAAAGCATTAAAAAAAGTCTCTAGGTCTCAGCCTGGCATACAGCAGGCACTCAGTAAAGAATCCTCAGGTCCCAGCCTTATATACAGCAGGTGCTCAGGGGAGAACAGCAAAGACTGACAGGCCCCACCCAAGCCTTCTGAGGGGGATGCCTCCTGCCCTTTGTAGAGGGGGAAACTGAGGCTGTGGGGCATGACCCACTGTGAGTGAAGGCCAGGCCCACCTGTCCCAGGACGCACATTGCCCCACCTCCACCAAGCCCTGGCTCCCCAAAATCCAGCCTGGGGGATCCCTTCCTCTCAGCCACTTCCTGCCTTTACAAACTTGCAGAAACTGCTGGGGTGGCCAAGGGGAGCTGGACCGTGAACCTGGCACCCCAAGGGTACTGGAGTTTTGAGGATTATGTAAGAGTTTGTTGCCTCTCTTCCCAAGGGACCCAGGCTGTGCTGGATGCAGGTTTCAGGGGCCTCTGTGGTCAGGGTTCCCAGCTTTGCTGATCCCGTTATGGACACTGAGGGAAGGAGGATGGCCAGCTGGGTGGTCGGGAGCAGCGGGGCGGCCCCTCCTGCGCTGTGGGGGGCTCAGCAGGTGTGGACACATGATAACAAGAGGGAGAGGATCAGCCAGCCACACAAGGGGCAGCAGGTCTGGACTGGCCAGGGCTGGGCTCTGTGGATAACACAAGATGGTCCCATCCCGGCATGGAGGGGTTAACTCAGCCACTGCCCACGTTCCCCCCTCACCCTCAGCCTTCCGGTGGCCAGGCCTGTGTTTACAGAAGCCGAGGCTTCACAGGGCCCCAGCACTGGCCACACTGGACTCTGGGTCCCCACCCTTCCTGCTCCACAGCTGGAGCCTCCACCCCACCCTGGGCCTCAGTTTCCTCCTGGAAACTGTGGGATGGTAACAACCCAGCCCCCCAGTACCAGCCAGTGGGTGGAAGGGGCAAATCTCACCCTGGGGGAGAGTGCCCAGGACCCCCTAAGTCCCCCCATATGCCTGCGGCTCTGGAGGTGGCTGCTGGGGACTTGGTCACAGTTTTGGGGTACTCACTCACAGGAGGCTGTCCGACTCCCTCATCAGACCTGACAGCATGTGTCTCCCTGCTCAGACTAACACAGCACCTGCCTCCCCCATCAGACGCACACACACACATACACAGGACACCTCCTTTATCAGACACACAGGACATCCGCCTCCCCCATCAGACATGCGTGACCCCCCACCCCCACTCACCCCGCTTCTGCATGAAGCTGAACAGATCGTCCAGGAACTCCTTCCTCTTGGGGTCGGCATCCAGTTCATAGAGCTGTAGAGAGAGTGGAATGGAAGGTCAGTGCAGGAGGGACAGGACTCTGGAAGGTCCCAGTGACCCTGTACTCCCAACACCCATGAGGTTGTGGAGCAGATGATGCTGACTCCCCATCCAAGGAACACTAGCAACGTCCCAGGGGGATCTGGATCAGGGACTTTACTGGAAAGGGTCTTTCCTGCCTCATATGGCATTCCAAGCTTGACTGTCAAAACAGCCTGGCGCCCATTCTCACACAAATAAGGAAACTGCAGCATGGTGATACAAGATCCTTAGCCCACCGGCTCCTGAGCCCGGTTCTCCCTCCACAAGACTCCTCCACACCCTCCTTCTTTAGTTTCCCTATGTTCCTCAAAAACTGCTGTGGCTTGGTGGGTAGAGTGCTTGCAGCTCAGTGGGCAGAGTGCTTGTAGCTCAGTCGGTAGAGCGGAGTAACGACGTGACTGTCTGCCCTCCTGGGCTGTGGTGTGGGGCGACTGTGGACACAGGGACACAGGAGGGGTCAGGGTTGCGTCCTGGGTGTCCTCTGGGTGCTGGGCCCCAGGGACTTGCTGACCATGCAGGAGGAAGCAGGGCGGAGATAATTAGAATGCAGCTGAATACCAAGCTTCAAATTAACCTCCAGGAATGTGGCTGAATGGATGGGGAGGGCGGCTAGAAACCACCAATTAGGTTGGGTCTGCATAATCCATCATTTAGTCTCTAAGCCTAGAGGACCTGCTCTTCCCCAGGACTCGGTTTCTCCATCTGCTTAATGGAGACCTAATGTGGGGGTGGGAGCCTTCTGGAAAGGGGAGCCCAGGTCTTTCTGCCCTGGGTGGTTGTGGCTGCTGAGGGGGCCAGCTGCTCTTGGTGTCTGAGCCCCACCCTGGCCAGCCCACACCAGACTGGCCAGCCCACATTCCTAAGTCCAAGGAGGCCACCCCCTCCGGCAGTCCGAGGGGTGCAGGGCTCTGTATGTTGCCATGTGGCCGCCCTGCACCCAGCCTCAGGGTGCCACATGCACCCAGGCAGGCTGGGGCCCTCCACACCTTCCCCACACTGGCTCTGTGGGCTTTTGCAGGTGTGTTGGGGGGGGTGTGTGCATGGCACCTCTAGCACAGGGGACTTGGATCCATGGTGTTGAAGATCAGCCTGGTACACAGCTGTCACATAATAAATGCTTCACAAATACAATTTGATTTTCTTAGCTGCCACCTGGGCCAGGCAGAGTGGGCAGTGAGGTTGGACAGTCTGGGCTGGAGCCCCAGACCCTGGGGGGAGGCAGGAGGGACCCTCTCCCAGGGTCTCAATGGAACCAAGATACAGAGACCTGGGGGCATTCTGTGTGATTCCCCCATGGGGGCTAAAGCACTCTAAGAGCAAGCCCCAAACCCCTTCCCAGAAAAGGGCACAGCACAATCTCCAACCTCCACCCTCAAACTCAGCCCCCTCCACAGGACACCTCCAGGTCCTCCTTCCTCAGTATCCCCATCTGGAAAACTTCAGCAGTTTGGTGTGGCTCACTGGGTGGGGTGTTCATAGCTCAGTAGGCAGGGTGTTTATGGCTCAGTGGGTAGAGTGCTCACCTAGCATGCACAAGGCTCTAGATCCATCCCCAGCACCATGAGATGGAGGCAGGAGGATCAGGAGTTCAGAGTCAGCCTTGGCTACAGTGACTTTGAGGCCAGCCTGGGCTATGCTTCACGTATACACAGCTCTATCTTGAGGTCCTAGCACCATCACAGCCCCCAGAAAGAAAACATGAGGCTCAGAACTAGCAGCTAACTCAAACCAGAGCCGCTGACACTTTGACTAATTGAGAGGCTGAGGGGCCAGTCTGTGGTGGTGCCTGGTCCAAACCCTGCAAGGACAGGGCATTAGCTTGAAGCCATAAATGGGGGCTGTGGGGTCCCCCAGCAGTCTGTGGGGAAAAGTGACAACAAAGGCAGCTAGCTGTAAAGGCTGCCCTAGCTTTATGGGGCCCTGGACAGCTGGCAGGAGGCCCTAGAGAACAGTGTCAAAGCCTCCCCAGTGGCAATGTCCAGGCCCCTCTCTTGGTCATGGACCCAACACTGAGAGATTTTTGACTGTTCTTCTTATCTAAAATCAGGCAAAGCACACAGCAGTTGTGTAATAAATGCTCATTAAATAAGTGTGATTTTTCAGCCCTTGCTGTGGGCATCCACTTCCTGCAGTGAGGCCCTGGCACCATTTCCTACTATTCCATGTGTGAATCTAAAAAATAGGGTCAAATCCTGCATGGAAAGTGAGGGCTGGGGTGGAGGTATTCAGCAGGCACTTGTTAAGTACACATGGAATTTTTTTTTTTTTTTTGAGACAAGCCCTCCTAGACCTTGCTATGCCATTTGCAGATTTGTGTCCCAACTGCACCTTGGCAGCCACCTTTCTCACAGGGCCCAGGGTGGGGTCCTCAAGCCCAGGGGCCCCAGTCATAAAGAATCCACTGTGTGCACACTCAGGCACAGGGCCCCTGGAAACCTTTGCCCCCATCTTTCCACAGCCCCACTGGCTCCCAAGGGCTCCAAAGTCCACGGGGCCCCAGTGGGGGACGGGTGTGCACATAGGGTGGACCCCAGGAACAAGATGCAGGCAGTGTCTGCCAGCCCCAGCCTACAAGCCCCTCCCTACAGCCACCAGGTTAGCAGGAGGCAGGAGACTTAACTGGCTGCTTCTAGTCTGGGTATGAAACCAGAGGAACTCCCAGACTCCCAGAAACATTGTAGCAGAGCACACTTGGTGAACTGGACACTTTTTGTTTTAATCTTATTTCTTTTCTTTTTTTTTTGGACTGGATCTCAAGTAGCCCAGGCTGGCCTCAAACCCAGTATGTATCTGAGGATGACCTTGAAGTCATGATCCTCCTGCTGGGATGATGAGAGTGTGCCATCACACCTGGTTTAAGTGCTCAGGACTTTGTGCACATTAGGTGAGCACTCTGCCCACAGTTGAGCTACAAACCATGGCTTCTTTGGTTGTTGATTAGCTTGTGTTCTTGTGGGTTATTTTTGGGTTTTGTTTGTTTGTTTTGGTTTGTTTTTGAGACAGGGTTTCTCTGTAGTCCCAGCTGGTCTGGAACTGGCTATATAGCCCAGGCTGCCCTCAATCTCGCAGAGATCTACCTGCTTCTGTCTCCAAGTGCTGGGATTAAAGGCATGCATCACCACACCCAGGGTCTCACTGTGTAGCCCAGGTTGATCCTTTCCTCAGTTCCTCCCCCAGTGTTGGGATGACAGGTGTCAGCCACCACACCCTGCTGGGAAATTCTGTTAAAAAGCTGGTTTGCGTGAGCTGACAAAGTTTCTGGGAACTCAAACTATGTTTTCCTCTTTAGGGCAGAAATGGCTTTAAGAGCTCAGAAAAACTTGGAAGCCAACAGATTTGAGTCAGCTGCCCCTGCACCTGGGGTGGGGGACCCCAGAGAAAGGCCCTGGGGACCTGGACCTCAGCACTGTGGGTCTCAGCTTGCCTGACAGGAATAAAAGAGCCTCAGAGCCTCTGGGTGTGCAGACCCTCCTGTTCAAGGCTGAGTTTTGTTCTGAACACTTGTTTTGTTTTTTTTGGCAGGGTATGGTGGTGCACACCTTTAACCCCAACAGAGGCAGATGCAGGCAGATCTCTACAAGATCAAGGCCAGCCTGGGCTACATAGGGAGTTCCTGCCCCCCCCCCCAAAAAAAAACAAAAAAATGGTTTTTGGGTTTTTAAAGTTATGCATATAAACTCAGATCACAATCAATGCATCAAGGATGAGCGTTTGTAAATTCACACAGTTGAGTAACCACCACCTCAATCCACTTCCAGAACCTTCCATCACCCTAAATAAAGTACCATCCCCATGAATAGTCAGTCACACTTCCCTTCCCCAGACCCTGGTACCCAGGAATTCACTTCCTGTCTCTGGATTCTCCTGCTCTGGATAATTCCTGTCATGGAGCCCCACACTGTGGCCTTTATGTCCAGGTCTCTCACTGGGTGTCATGTCCTTGAGGTTCCTCCATATTGTGCATGTATCAGAGTCTTACTCCTGTTCATGACTACGTTCAAATCCCACTACCCACATAGTGGCTAACAATTGTCATAACTCCAGTTCTAGGGGAGCTGACGCACGGACATTGCAGGACACATGTGCACTTTTACATACATGCAGGCAAACGCTCATACATATAAAATAAAAATAAAAACATAAATAAAAATTTATTAAAAAAAAAAAAAGAAAGGTTGGACCAGCTATAATGCTGCTCCCCCCGCCCAAAACAAAAAAAAAAACAACAAAAAAACTTGCAGTGGTCAAAGTAAATGCTTCCTTCTCCGCCTCTGATGGGCCTCAGGGCCTTGCAAACCTCTCTTTCCACCCTTGGCCTGCATGTCCTTCCCAGCTCTACAACCCTCCAAGGCGCCCTCTTCTTCCCAGCCCTAAGCTCCACTCCCTCCCATGGCCTGAGACCCTTCCAGTGTTTGGCTTCCTGGGCCTCCAGGAGGGGTTAACCACACCAGCCCTGCCCTGGGGCCTTTGCACAGCTGAAGCTCTTCACTCTCTCCTCCTGAGAGGCCCAAGGCAGCCCATGACTCAGCACTGTGTCTCTTCAGAGGATAGAAGAACCCCAGGGCCCTGTGTACCACCCCCTTGGAGGAAACACCCATGCTGCCACTGAGGAGTAGGCAAGACTCACCTGGAACTCACTCTGTAACTAGGGAAACTGAGGAAGAGGTGATCCATGAACAGAGCCCCAGAGACCTGCTGAGCACTAGACTGAACTTTTTTCATAGGGGACCAGGTGTGTTGGCATGAGCTGTCATTGTGGAACTTGGGTGGCTGAAGCAGGAGACGCTGTGAGTTCCAGGCTAGCCGGGGCTACAGAGGGAGACCTTGTCTAAAACAGATAGGGCTGGGGATTTGGCTCAAGTGTGTAGAGTGCTTGTAGCTCAGTGAGTAGCATGTTTGTAGCTCAGTGGACAGAGTGCTTATAGCTCAGTGGGCAGAGTGTTAGTAGCAGA